CCCCAAAACCCCAAAACCCCAAAACCCCACATGCATAAAGGGCATGCTTTATTTAGAATTAATAAAAATTTATTAATACTTGATTTGCTAACTGCACTAATAATGATATACATAAATTGGTCTATCAGTTCTTTATGATACATTAAAGTATCCTAACTAAGTCAAGTTTCTCAGCGAAGTTTTCTTTGACGAATTCTAGAGTATTGATCTCAGTGTCTTCTTCTTCACCTGAAGATTCCTTCAATGCTTTAATATTATCTAAGTGCTAAACAGCTTCAACTACCACAAATAGCATTGATTCAACTAAGGGTGAGAATTTTGCTTGTATAAGCTCATTAAGATCAACTTTCATCATTAGTTCCATAGCTCTATACTTGATCTCATCATTAAACTTGAAGTAGAGCTCTGGTTTGCACAGCTTATCAATTACTTGCATATTTTTCTTGATAACTCCAGTTACATTCTTGAGGAAAGTTTTGTTATCACAATCCTGGGGTGAGGTGTTTTTGAAGTTCAAGAAGGTAAAATAGATTCTAAGCACAGTTATCTCCTTCAATGTTATTTTATTTGCTTGTAGATCTTTTAATAAATTCTCCCATTCATTTAAGTCCTCCAGGATGTCTTACTTTTCAAATAAATCCTCTGGTATATAGAACTGTAAATCCTCTTTGTTTGATTTGCCATCTACACCAGATTCAGCTCTAAGTTCTTCTATCTAATCATCAATCATTTCTTTTTAAAGCTACAAATTCTCACTTTGGTAAACCAGGTAATTTGAAAGAATCTGTTTATTTGAAAAGGCAAATTAAGGGAATTCCTCGCCAGTCATTTCTTGAATGCAATCTAAGATGTCACCTGTCATATCTTTAAAACCTATTGCTGGAACTATTGGTTTTGAGTTTGATTAGTCCTCTACTAATATTCCGTTATAGATAGAGGCTCTGCTAGGCTTTTACAATTCAAAGTCTGATGTTTAGATTTTAGAGAGTATATTAGGGTGTGATTCAACTTGAGTCTTCTTCTTCGGCACCTTGTTAGCTGACTTGTCTTGTTGCTGAATCAAAGCTTGATTAACTTCAGCCTTTGGTGAACTATGAATTCCCCCTCTTTTAGTATTAGGAACTGATGAATACTAGGAGGATACATCATCTCTTGGACTTCTATTATTTTGCAATGTGTTCTATTTCTAAGCAGTCGTCTGTCCCTTGAATATTGTGTTATTCTATCTTTACTAGTTTTATTGTTGTTATATAACTCTGGAATTCGTCTTTTAGGTAGCCATCTAGGTTGTAGTGGGAGGCTATTTTTCAGGCATTTTATCCATTGACTTTTTGTTTAAGTTATTCTGTTATTGTTATGCTGGCCTAGTAGTTGATTTAGGTCTATTGTTATTTGCCTGGTTAGCACTATCTTTATCTTTAGTTGCCAAAATCTAGGGCTAACTAAGCACAGCTTATCTAGTTTTTGATTTATCGTTATGCCTTTCATCTATCTTAACTCTAGCTCCTTAATTATTTTTATTTTCTCTATTCTAGAAGTCGATTTGAACATTAATAGGAGTGTGTTAGTTACCGCCGAATTCACTTTACCTCTTATTATCATATCTATGATTAGCTCCTTGAGCTTAAGATGTTGTTGTTTATCTGCTAGTCTATGATGTGGCCCCAATCTAAAAACTTGCCTAGGAATTTGAAGTTGAAAGATTAGCACTTGGGGATAGCAAGTTATTTTTTTATTTAGATGATTTATCCCTATTACCAATAGGAGTAACTTGCTGATGTTTTTAGATTGCTGCCTTTTAAAAGGTGTTTTGAATAAAGGGGCCTTCTCTTGGAGAAGATTTTCCATCATCTGTGATATCATCCTTTTTAGATTCAGTTTGCTCGCTTAGCAGGTGATTACTATTCTAAGCAGAATAGGGATGTGCCTCATTGAGCTACTTAATCGTAGTATAACTTCTATTTAACCCATTTTTATTGGTTCCACTAGCAGAACTACTATTATGCTTACTTAAAGGAGTCTGATGAAGATTGCTATTACTTTATTCCTGGAGTATTTGTTTGAATGGAAGTTAGTTAAAAGATTAAGCAACATTTAGAGGACTAGTGTCATTGTCCATTTGAAGTGGATACTGCATATAATTGTTTGTAAGAGGCTAAATCTATTGAGTTTAGGACTTTTAGTCAATGACTCCTCCTCCTATTATAATATCTTAATCTATTTTTTGTGGTTTTTGCTGCATAATATTCACTACCTCTATTAGGGATTAGGTATTAAGGATCATTCCTACAGAGGCTATAAGCTCTTCAGCAAAGTTTGGAAAAAGTCCTCTTTATAATGCAACATGATCTAAATCGCTGTTCTTTTTCCCATTATTTTCTAAAATGTGTAAATTTCAAGTGATTCTTTACCTTTGAACAATAGTGAATTCATTTTATCTAAAAACCTGCTTAGGGAGTTCGCTATTTTGTTCTAGTTCTCTTCTATCAACCTAATTCTACCATCGAACTTGCTGATTACCTAGGTCATTATTGAGATAACATGGCTATTCTTAACATAGCTATCATCAGTTGAGCAGTTCTCACGGTGAATATCGTCAATATGTGTAGATGCCTTATCTGATGGATTTTAATTCAAGTGATGCTGACTTTTGTTCTCTGAGAAATTTTTCTTGTGCAATTTCTCAGTGGCTTACTGCGAATAAGATAAGGATTTAGTGGGTGTTTTCTATTAGGTAAGATGACTTATGTCACTATTTATATTATCAGATGGGACTCCACTAAAGGCATGATTCTTGACTTGACTGTTAGACTTCATTTATTTTATTATATTCCTACAAATATCTTACTCTGCAATTTTAGTTTTATCATAGCATAGGGGTTTTGGGGTTTTGGGGTTTTGGGG